GAGCTGGATAGGAAGTGGAGCAGCCGGGACTCGAACTGGTGCCCATATGGGATGCCGGCACTGCAGGGAGCGGCTTTACCCGCTATGCCACAGCGCCGGCCCCCTTCCCTTCCTTCCTAAGGTTGAATAATATCCCATTGTACGTACGGACCACAGTTTGCTTATCTGTTCATCAGCCAATAGACACTTGGTCCTTTCCACATCCTGCTTGATGTGAACATGCTGCCACGAGTGCGATGTGGAAATCTCTCTTTGAGACCCCGATCTTAATCCTTTTGGATACACACTCAGAAGGGAAATTGACGAATCATACGGTAATTCTATTTTTAATTTCTTGAGGAATAACCATACAATTTTTCCATTGTGGCTGCGCCATTTTACAATCCTACCAACCATATACAAGAGTTCTAGTTTCTTCACATCTTCACCAATATTTGCTATTTTCTGGTTTTTTTTTGTTTGTTTGTTTGTTTTTTTAATAGTAGCTATCCTAAAGGGTGGGACAGAATTTCTATTTGTGCTGGGATTAGTGAAGGCAAGAGTTTCAAAGTACGACTCTTTCTGTCCATGCATACATCCATCCAGCCAGCCCTCCCACCCACCCATCCATCCACCCACCCATCTATCCCTCCCACCCCCCCATCTATGCCTTCATCCTTTCACATCACTCACCTTCCACCCACCCACCAATTTATTCACACAGCCAACCAATCATCCACTTATTCATCTTTCCTACTGTCCTTCCTTCTACCTAGCAAACCCTCCGTCTATGGCATGCTGACTTTTCCACGTAGTAAATATATATCAAGTATATTTATATGCCGGCCACATTGCTAGGTGCTGAGAAATGAATAAAAGCCAGATCCTGCCAGCTGGGTCTTTGTAACAAGGGAGATGATTTAAAAGCCTAACAATCAGGACACAGGGTAGAGGGCGACCAGTGCCCTGGGATCAGCAGCTCCCTGTGGGCCTCAGTTTCCCCGTCTGAGCAGTTCCCAGGAGGGCTGGGCTCCACGAGCTCCAGTCCAGAGGTCTGTGACTTTACTGACGAGGACTTTTCCTCGTCTTTCTTCTCTGTTTTGATGGGGGGAGAGCCCAGGGCTTTGGGCTTGGGTTTCTGCTCTCAGGAGCTAAGGTTAAGTGAATGACGGCTTCAGGTTTAGACATCTTGTGTGGGGTGATTTGGAATAACATTTTATTTTTGTCTGAGTGACATCAAAAGAGTGAGTAAGAATGGAGATGTGGCAGTGGGACTTTGGCCCCAGACTGGGAGTTGGTTTGGAGGGAGGAAAGGAGAGATCAAGAGAACGGCTTGTGTGTGGTTGGCTGGACGACGCTGGATGGGTGTAGGGTCAGTGATGGGTGGATGATAGATATAGTGGACAGACAGATGGATAAAAGGAGTCAGGAAGGGGTTGGGATCGTGGTGCAGCAGTGGGGCCGCCCTTTGGGACAGCAGCAACTCATATTGGGGTGCAAGGTTCGAGTCTCGCCTCCACTTCCAATCCAGCTTCTTGCTAATACACACCCTGGGAGGCAGTGGGTGATGATGGCCCCAAAAGCCGGGTCCCTGCCACTCATGTGGAAGACACAGATGGAGTTCCAGGCTCCTGGCTCCAGCCTGGCCCATTCCTAACTGTTTGGGGGGGGGGGGGCATTTGGGGAGGGAACCAGGGGATCCAACATCTCTGTCTCTCTGGGTCACTCTTCCTTTCAAAAAAACAAGAAATAAATATGATTTATAAAGGTAGCAGCTAGTAAGTCTTCCAGTGTCACCATGGGTCTTACATAAAGCTTTCACCTATTAATAAAATGGAATGTTGTTCATTATTATCTTGTAGGGTAGGAGTTCAGTCTCTGGAGTTGAATGCAAGTAGGTTGCATCTTAACTCCACCAATGGTGGCTGTAGCCAAAGGACTTAGCTTTTTTGAGCCATATTTTCCCTAAATGCAAATATCAAACGCTGGTAGACATCTCTGCATTGGGTGCCCACCACTGCACATGACGAGAGTTGTCTGCAGAAATGCAAATGAGTCCACTCTTCTGTGGGGCTGGAGGGATGCTCAAGGGACCCGTGGGCGGCCTTGGTGAAGGCAGGAAAAGGGTAGAGCGAGGCGCTGAGGAGGAGCCAGCATCTTGGCGGGCCGGCCCTCGTAGGGCCCCATATCTTACACCATCTCTGCTACCAGTCACCGCTGTCCGAGCACCCAGGGCCAGGCCAAAGTCGAGGTTTCCGTTGGGCCTTTGGAAACCTTAGCTGTAGCTCCAGGGGCGTCCACCGTAGCCCTCAGGGGCCCCCGTTCCAGGGAGCAAAGCACCTGCCACAGGCCCTGGGGAATGCAGGGGCCCAAGTCCCTTTCCCGCCCCTGACTCCGAGGGTCTCTGCAGGGGTCCAGACCGATCCTTCTCTAGCTCTCAAGTGGCTGAAGAAGGCGAACTGAGACCAACTTTGGGGAACACTGGGACCACCCGGGGGGAACCCAGGGGTCTTCTGTGGAGCTTAAACAGAGGTGGGGAGAGGAGCAGCCATGCGCCCACCACTGTGGCTTGGGAGAGCCGCAGGCACCAGGGTCTCCCAGCCTCGCAGCTGGGGCAGCCTGGGGCCCCGTGAGGCATCCCCGAGGAGCTGGGTCCCTCTACGTGGGCAGAGGAAGGCAGAAGTGGAGAAGCCAGGAGCGAGGCTGGAGGGAGATCTCTGGCTAAAGAGGACCCTGGATCTGCTCCCCAAATCCCAGGGCCCCTCGGCAGCAGGTCCTCCCGCGTCAAGCAAAGTCTCTGGTGCTATTGTTAACTCACTGCGAGATGCGCGGACAGACTGCGTGTTCTCCTTCGCGCTCCTCTGTCCCCACTTTTAGGCTTAGAATACGGCATAGAGGAGCCAGCTAAGACTCACTCCTTCGTGCATGTGTTTGTTTACTCGTTTGGGAGACGTTGGTTGAGTGCCTGCCATGTCCAGGCCCTGGGAACAGAGAGGTGCCCGTGACCCTCAGGGTACGATGCTGGGGTGCCAATGGCGGCCGCTGGAACAAAGTGACAGCCAGGTCCCCTACAACGATTCCCCCGGGGCCACTCACTAAGGTGCAAGGTGCCTGCCGCAGGGTCTGCCTCTCTCGGAGGCCCCCTCCTCACTGCTGCAGCCTGCTTCTGGCTGGAATAAATCTGGCTTTGCTCAAAACAAAAACCAACCAACCAACCAACAAGCAAGAACGCCTGCCGCATGCCCCTCTGCTGCTCCGGGCTCTTGAGAATCTAAACACAATGGTGGTGGTGACGAGGACAGCTACTCTTTACTGAGTCTTATTTTGGGCCAGGTGCTGTTCCAAGCATTTTGCAGGCATCCGTTCGCTAACTTCACAGCAGGCCTATGAGATAGGCGTAAAACGAGCCCCATGTAACAGATAAAGAAACTGAGACCTAAAGAAGTAGAGAGACCCACCCAGTGCCTCAGAGCCGGGATTTCAGCCCAGCTCCACCTGACTCCCAAACCCCGTATTCCTCTCCTCTCTGCCACGTAGACTCCTGGAGGCAGACCTCAGGCACGGCTTCACGCGCGGCCGAGGGCTGTCTCTGACTCTCAGAGTCTAGGATGAGAGGCTCTGGGGGAAGACAAATGTCTTGTCCGGGCCACGGAGCAAAGTCACCACTGAGCAGGGTTCCAAATGGAGGCCCCTGGTCCCTGGGTCAGAGCTAAAACACACTGGTCATTTATTTCTTTTTTTAATTAATTTATTTGAAAGGTAGAGTTACAGAGAGAGAGAGAGAGAGAGAGAGAGAGAGAGAGAGAGGTCTTCCATACGCTGGTTCACTCCCCAGTTGTCCACAATGGCTGGAGCTGTGCCGATCTGAAGTCAAGAACCAGGAGCTTCTTCCTGGTCTCCCATGCAGGTGCAGGGGCCCAAGCAGCTGGGCCATCTTCCACTGCTTTCCCAGGCCATAGCAGAGAGCTGGATCAGAAGTGGAGCAGCCGGGACTCGAACTGGCTCCCATATGGGATGCCGGTGCTGCAGGTGGAAGCTTAGCCCACTATACCCTAGCATCAGCCCCTCGGGTCACTTCTTAGGGATGTGGGAGCGACTATGTGTGTGTAAGAGAGAGAAAAACAGGCATGCAGGTGAGCAGGTGGACACGTGTGGACCTACATGCACACGCGTGCACACACACTCGATGGGCGGTAGACCTGTCCCAGAGACACAGCCCGACCCAGCACCATGTCCACTACCTCTTGGGTCACGTGAGAAACCCCAACTGTCATTTTGTCACCGCACCTTCTCTTGGACTTCCAATGGTGTGCGGGAAGGTCCCTCGGGCACGTGGGAGAAACCACGTTCTTGGAGAAACCACACCCGAGGTCTTCCCCAGTGCCAAGGCCGGGCTCCCAGGGGCTGGGGCTGTTTCCCCATCTCAAGTTCACCCACCGAAGACCCAGCCACCCAGGGCGGCAGTTTCCGGGAAAGCGTCCCAGGCAGCTGCCCCAGGTCCCGGCATTGAGGCAGTGCCGTGGACCCTGAGCCACTGTGGTGTGAGAGGAACGTAGCCCTGTGACTGTCATCACACTGTGGCCACATGACAGGGCCATGTGCATGGGGCTGGGCAGCCAGGGGGCGCAGGTGCCTTGGAGGCGTCTCATCTTCCCAGTAACTTGTGCCCCTTCTACAGGTAAGTAAACTGAGATGAGAGAGGCCTCACAGCCAAGGATGCAGCACAGCCAGGCTCAGGCGCTCGGGCCTGTGACCACCGGGAGTTACTGAAAACAGGGGAACCTGGCTCTGCCTCTGCTCTCAGGCATGTAAGGCTGCTGCCTCCCCGGGCCTCAGTGTCCTCATCTTTAAAATGGGGCCATGTAGTAATGAGTTGGGAAAGGAGAACCAAACTCGCAGCTTGGCCCAGCACGTGGCAAATGCCCAGAACAGCCTGGCCCAACTGGCTTCCGTGGTGCCGGCCGGCCGCGTGCCGAGCCTCGCCGGGGCTCACCCCTGCTGCCCGCCTGTCCCCCCTGCAGACCATTACTGGGACTTCCACCCCCACCACGTGCACAGCGAGTTCGAGACCTTCGCCGAGAACCACTTCACGGAGCTGCAGAGTGTGCAGCCGCCCCAGCTGCAGCAGCTCTACCGCCACATGGAGCTGGAGCAGATGCATAATGTCCTCGACACCCCCATGGCGCCACCCCACACCGGCCTCGGCCACCAGGTGCGTGTGTCGCCGCCGCCCGCCGCCCGCCACCCGCCCGGCCTGCGGTGGGGCCCGGGAGCCTCACAGGAAGCTGACACAGGCTCTTACTCAACTGGGCTTCCTGCCCCATGGCGCCAACGGCGGCCGGAGCCCCAACGGCTGCTGCCTGACCCCCCGACTGACCGTGTGACCCACGCCGCACGCCTCCTCCCCCCCAGGAGGGGCAGAGCCTGGAGAATGCCCTCCCGCCCCTCGCTGACGGCTGCCCCCCGTGTCCTGGCCCTGGGGGAGCCCGCATCTGAGCCACTGCCTGCTGCTCTCCCCTGGCTGACCGGAACCCCTCAGCCCCAGGGGCTCTGACCCCAATCGGGGACCCCCACTGGGTCTTCCCTCCCCTGTCACTCCTCACTGCCCCCCAGGGCTGCTGCAAGGTCCTCACATCTTTGTGCCCCTTCCCTGGGAGAGACACGTGCGCCCCGCACACACAGCACCACTGCTCCCATGCGTGGCAGCCCTGCCTGGTCTCGCGCTTTGCTGCCCTGCTGGCCCCTGCCTTCCCCAACACACCCTCTTCTCCCCCTGCGGCAGCCCAGAGCCTGCGTCCTCCCTCACTGACCACAGTCCCCGTCCCCCCCGCCCCCCAGGTCTCCTACCTGCCCCGGACCTGCCTCCTGTACCCACCCCTGTCCCCGGCTCAGCCCAGCTCGAACGAGGAGGAAGGGGGGAGCGGGCAAAGCCCCCCCGGCTGGAGGTGTCTGACGGGGAAGGCTTGACGGCCTTGGAGCCCCGGGCCCTGGGCCTTCCTGCATGGGGGAAGACAGGTAGGGTCCCGGCCTCGCCCCGCCCCCTGCCCTAAAATCTGGCCTTGGACGGCAGTTGGAATCTGTGCTTTACAAGCCCCTCGGGCCAAAGGCCGGCTGCCCCTGGGAGGTCCTCTCTTCCAGGGCCGTGTGTGTGAGCCACGTGCAGGGGTGTGTGTGTGTGTGTGTGTAAAGCTGAAGGTGTGTGCGTGGGTGAGGGGTGTGGGCTGTGAGTGCAGCTGGGCGTGCACGTCGGGGTGTGAGCGCACGCGTGTGCACGTGCGGGCGTGGTGGGGGTGGGGTGCCTGGCCTTCCCTAGCGCACCTGGCGCCTCCCCCCCCCCCCCCCGCAGGCAGCAAGAAGAAGATCCGCCTGTACCAGTTCCTGCTGGACCTGCTGCGCAGCGGCGACATGAAAGACAGCATCTGGTGGGTGGACAAGGAGAAGGGCACCTTCCAGTTCTCGTCCAAGCACAAGGAGGCGCTGGCGCACCGCTGGGGCGTGCAAAAGGGCAACCGCAAGAAGATGACCTACCAGAAGATGGCGCGCGCGCTGCGCAACTACGGCAAGACGGGCGAGGTGCGCAAGGTCAAGAAGAAGCTCACCTACCAGTTCAGTGGCGAGGTGCTGGGCCGTGGGGCCCCGGCCGAGCGGCGCCACCCGCCCCACTGAGCCCCGGCACGCCGGGCCGCCCCGCTGCCCATAGCATTAAGCCCTCGCCTCGCCGGCCCGGACACACGGAGCGAGCTCCCGGGGCCAGAGGCTGGACTGTGGCGGCCAGGCCTCGCCCGCCCCCTCGGCCCAGCCCCCAGACACCCTGCTTTGCCCCCCCCATACACACACCCGGACTCCAGCCCCCGCAGGGTGGGCCCCGCTGAGTGACGGGGTGCGTCCTGGGCGTGGGCGTCCCGCCCGTGCGTGCCCTGCCGGATCGTCTTCTATAAGCACCCCCCTCCCCCTCAAACCGTTCGCCGCCCCCCTCCCACCGTCGCCTTCCCCCAGGAACAGAGTAAAGTTATCCGCGGTTAATCCCCTTGCAGAGTCGCTTTTGAAATTGTGCACCTGGGCCAAGGTGCTTGGTGACCATGACGGGATTCGGTGGCAGTGGAAACCTGGGTGAGGCTGGGACTCACAATCTTTCGGTTACAAACCCCACTGAGATGATGATGGTGAATATTAACAGCAGCAACACCGTAGATGTTTCTGCTCGTTTGCACGTCAGCCTTGACTGACGTGTGCGGTGTCACATCAACCCATTTCACGGACCTGGAAACTGAGGCTCCAAAGGTCACATGATGTTCCCAAGCTCAGCTGGTGAGTGGCATCAGTGTGTCACGCACTGGAAGAGAGCACTATGCAGCTTGCCAAGGAGCAGCAATCTAAGCCCCAAAGCCCCAGCTGGCCACCAAAAGCTCCCATAAGGTGCACATCCAGGGGGGTCTTCGACCCATCTAGTGCAGCTGTGCGTCCAGGCTCCTCAACCCCAGCAGAGGAGGGACGGCCAGGGATGGGCTGGGAAGCAGTGAGGATGGTGCTGGGGGAAGGCATGCCCCCCTCCCAAAGCAGCCTGCAGACCCCCGGGGCCGTTAGCGCAGAGACAAGGACCCCGCGGCCCACCGGCGCGCTGCCTGGCCCCACCCTGCCGTTGTGCGGCGTGTTCTTTTCAGGAAGGCTCAGAAGCAGGTGACGCGGCTTCAAAGTGGGTCAGGGGAGGAAAACTGGATTTCAGAGTCGAAGGGGACGACTTGGCCCATCGGGGAAGAGCAGGTGTACAGAATCCTCCCTCTGGCCGTGCCAGATAAATGACCTTTCTCAATGTTGGGTCCGCCTCGGAGGGCGGCACCTGAGATTTGCTTCTTTCATTCTTTTATTTTTTTTTTAAATTTTATTTATTTATTTGACAGGTAGAGTTACAGACTGTGAGAGAGAGAGAGAGAAAGGTCTTCCTTTTCCATTGGTTCATCCCCCCCAAATGGCTGCCATGGCCAGAACTATGGCGATCCGAAGCCAGGAGCCAGGTGCCTCCTCCTGGTCTCCCTTGCAGGCGCAGGCGCCCAAGCACTTGGGCCATCCTCCACTGCCTTCCCGGGGCCACAGCAGAGAGATGGACTGGAAGAGGAGTAGCCGGGACTAGAACCCGGCACCCATATGGGATGCTGGCGCCGCAGGCAGAGGATTAACCAAGTGAGCCATGGAGCCAGCCCCTCTTTTCTTTATTTTTAAAAATATTTGTTTATTTATTTGAAAGTCAGAGTTCGAGAGAGGCAGAGGCAGAGAGAGAGAGAGAGAGAGAGAGAGAGGTCTTCCATCTGCTGGTTCACTCCCCCAGTGGTCACATTGGCCGGAGCTGGGCCGATCCAAAACCAGGAGCCAGGATCTCCCACGTGGCTGCAAGGCCCCGGGCACTTGGGCCATCCTCCATTGCCTTCCCAGGCCACAGCAGAGAGATGGACTGGAAGAGGAGCAGCTGGGACACGAAGTGGCGCCCATCTGGGATGCCGGCGCTGCAGGCCGTGGCTTTACCCGCTACGCCACAGCGCCGGCCCCAGTTTGCTTCTTTCTGTAGCAACAGATGGCCCCGATGTGATAAAGGGTGGAGGTCGAGCTGCAGGGAGCAGCTGTCACAGACGAACGGGGTGGGGGTGGGGGGGCGACCAGGGGATCCAGAATAGTCTGGCATCAATCTTTGTGACTCTGCCAACAGCGGGCTCTGCTTCTCCACCCTCCATTTTGGGGTGTATTCAGAAGTCACCCCACACCCTCACAGGTAGGCTCCCCCAGCCCTTATACCAGCCCTTGATGTGCAACTCATAACAGCACACACTGAGACAGGCACACACTGCCCTAAACATTTCATTCTATTTGAAAGGCAGAGAGAGAGAGAGAGAGAGAGAGAGAGAGAGAGAGTCCATCTGCTGGTTGTCCCCTAAACGTCCTCAACAGCCAGGGCTGGGCCAGGCTGAAGCCAGGAGCCAGGAACTCCATCTGGGTCTCCCACATGGGTGGCAGGGGCCCAGCTCAGCACGTGGGCATCCCCTGCTACCTCCGGGGTGTGCATTAGCAGGAAGCCAGAATCAAAAGCCGAGTAAGGACCGCAGCCCTGCACTCTAACGTGGGATGCAGCTAACACTGTTAGACATAAGCCCGCTACAGTAGTGGTCCCGGGCAGTGGGCACGGCGGCCCCCGATGTGCTTCAAGGTTGAGGAGAAGGCAATTCCGAACTTGGGGTCTGTGGCACAACCCACGCCTGGCAAGCATGCTTCTGACCCATGATCCTCAAGGCCACGGACCAGGCACGCTTGGCAGCCAGAGGGAGGTGCGGACGGGGGCTGGCATTGCGGCCACTTTCAGTGTCAGCCTCCCACTTCTGATCCAGCCCCCGGCTAATGCATCTGGGAAGGCCGTGGAAGTTACCCGAGTACTTGGGCCCCTGCACCCATGTGAGAGACCCCGATGGAGTTCCTGACTCCTGGCTCCAGCCGGGCCCAGCCCCAGCTGTTGTGGTCATTTGGGGAGTGAACCAGCGGATGGAAGACCTCGCTCGCTCTCGCTCTCCCTCCTTCCCTCCCTCCCTCTCCCTTGCTTTCACATAAATAAATCTTAACAAAAAAGGATGCAGACAGGGCTTGGGGTACCCTGAAGGTCACCGGACTTGGAGGGGCAGGAGCCACGGTGGTGTGTTAGGGGCGGGGAAGGGACAGGAGCCAGCCAGGAACAGTGTGGCCCTACCTTCTCCCCAAGCAGACATCAGCTCTCTGGAATTTGTCTAAATTTAGCAGGTGCCTGGGCAAGAGGCAGATAAGCAAAGCCAGGGAGGGGGAGGCCCCCATATATAGTGGGGAGGCCAGGACCCCACTCAGTCCGTCTCTGGGTGGCCCGTGCCTGCGTGGTGCCTGGTGTGACTTCTCTCACGATGCCGGAGCCGGGGAAGAAACCAGGTAGCTCCCAGCCTGGGGCTGGGTCTTAGTGGGGGGCTGGGGGCAGGGGGTGACTGCAATCGGGGGGCAGGACTGGGAGGGAGTTCTTGAGGGGTTAATGAGGATGAGGTCTCGGAGCTCCAGGGCACGGTAGGGGTCCCCCCAGGTCCCATTCTAAGTCTCCATTTCTATGCTCCAGTCCTCTGAAGACAGAGAAGGTGAACCCAGGATCAGGGCCCCAGAGCGAGGCGAGAGCCCAGGCAGGGGGTTGCCAGCCCGCACCCCGGTCCCAGAGCACAGGGGGACCAAGCTCAGCCCAGACGTGAGCCAGGCTCAGTGCATGCCCTTGGACCAGCCCCACCGCCTTGTGCCTGTCTCCCCATCCACGCGGGAGAGCTGGGCTCAGCTCTGCCAGCTCATAGCCAATCCGCCTCCTTAGCCTGCACCTGCGTGGCCCCCACGCCAGGCCCGGCCCACGCTGCGAGTGATGCAGTCCCTCTTCTCAGGGAGAAAACATACAAGTGGCTCCTGAGGCCGGGCCAAGGGCAGAGAGACCACAGAGCAGTGGCTAGGGCCTGAGCCCGGCCCTAACCAAGGCTGTCCTGGGCAGGCCCCCAGCCCCCCACCCCCAGCCACCTCCCAGGCCCGCTTTATCTCAGTTGTCCCTTGGAGGACAAATTTAGCCACATTCCACGTAAGCAGAGCACCTGCCCCTTGTCAAGGGCCCCAGACGGTGGGGGGATGGGGGTGGGGGCTGGGCTGAACAGCCATGTGCCCAGGCAGGGAGAGCAGAGTATTTAGGGAGCACACCTAGCAAAGTCTGGCGTGGAGGTTAGGACCACAGCCTTGGCTCCCCTGCCTACTGGCTGCGAGATCCTGGACAAACCACTCAACCTGTCTGAGCCTCAGTGTCCTCATCTGGGAAATGGACATAATAAGGGCACCCACCTACCTCCTGGAGCTGCTGGAGAAGTCAGAGGTGCTGTGTGGAAGGACTTAATAAGAGAGGAGCAGGGGCAGGTGCACCAGCCACCGGGGACCCTGCAGCCTCCATCTGGCTCTTTAGCCTCAGCCTTCAGCAAGAAGCCGCGCTCGGCGGAAGTGGTCGCAGGCAGCGCCGCCGTGTTCGAAGCTGAGACCGAGCGGGCCGGGCTGAAGGTGCGCTGGCAGCGGGGAGGCAGTGACCTCAGTGCCAGTGACAAGTATGGCCTGGTGGCCGAGGGCACACGTCACACGCTGACGGTGCGGGACGCATGCCCTGCTGACCAAGGCTCCTATGCGGTCATCGCTGGCTCCTCCAAAGTCAAGTTTGACCTCAAGGTCATAGAGGCAGGTAAGACTCAGGTCAGCCCGATTTTTGGGGTTTGCAGTTCTTGGGGCAGAGGCGATCCTGCCGCTGCCTCCCCGGCCCCCCCAAGGTACAGGAGGCGCTGTCACATGGCCTTGCCCAGAGACCCCTCCCTGGTTCTACAGCAAGACCTCCCTGCTTGAGCCGGCTGCTGGGCAGCTGGGGGGAGTTCAGAGATGGACAAGGCCTCCCAGGGCAGCCCCACACACAGATGGCCATGAGATGGGCCAGCTGTTCTCCCAAGGGATCCCTAAGGGTGTGGGTGAGGAGGGAGCCCAGGGCAGCCTGGGGGAAGTGAGCAGGGCTGAACCGCAGAGCCGTTGAGAGCAGAGCAGGGATGCAGAGCCAGGAGGGGAGGCTGAGAGGGAGCAGTGCAGGCCGGGCCCCTGCTCAGCATCAGCCATGGCTCAGGGGCCCCGGGCCACAGCGTGCGGACAGGGCCAGAGCGCTCTGGACATCCTCATTGAACCAGAGGCGTGCTCAGGAGTCATACTCGGGAGAGAGAGGGCGGAGGGGAGGGTCTCGGATTGGAAGCTCTGCCATGACTTCCCGCCTGGCCCCTCCAGAGAAGGCAGAGCCCATGCCAGCCCCTGCACCTGCTGAGACCCCTGGAGCCCCCGGAGTAGCCCTGGCCCCAGCGCCCGAGCTGGAAGGCAGTGCCCCAAGTCTCGAAGGTGAGAGGGCTGGGCAGGTCAGGGCTGGCGGGTACAGGGGTGACCCTGGGTGGGTCTCAAAGGCCTTTGCTCATAGGGTCAAACTCAGC